TTCCACATCTTTCGATTTTCGCGATCTGGTAAAGGGGAGGTTGATGTGTATCGTTTTATGTCCAAACACAGTTCAGATCACTATGCGCTTTTCTGTCACGATCCCTTGTCACACGTCGCCATCGATGCGTTATCATGCATGAAGTTGTTGATGAATCAATGCGCAAAAGATGTCACTATCAACAGAATGTGCCGCAGCATTACTACCTTTTAAATACCCTAGTTTTATTTTAGGCTAGGAAATTGGACTAGCCTCCAGACGCAAAGATTTACGAGTCCCTAGATCAAATTACAGTGATGTTCGAAACGATGTCATACTTCAGTGATCTTTGGTTGTTTTTAACAGCGAAACATGACCGTCCCAAATGGATGAAGCCTTCAAGGCTATGGTTGTCACTGGGGGCAAATAAACCATGTTTTGTAGTTCATTTATATGTTAATTAATGAAGTTTTATTTCTTTTGGAATTTTGTCGTAGTTGTGGCATCAAAAGTTGTCAGAAAAGTATTTTAATGAAAGACGGGCTTCTGTTCTCTACGGAAGTGACAATCAGCTGAAAGTTTCCGAAGAAGTTTTGTGATGATCAGTGGCATCGATTTGCTAAATCGATTTGAAATTCAAATTTTGCGATTCCTTTGTCTACTTAATGATTATTTGACAATCATAAATAACTTAACTTACAAATAAAGGTCTGCTTCGGAAACGCGAAAATTTTCGAAACACTTGATCATATACAGTAATGTTCCACTGAATCAATGACACCATTCAATTTATTAGTTGAACTCAAATTGTAACCATATCTTGAATCGAAGCAGTCCGGTCGGAACCGAAATGAGTATAAAGATGAACATTATCAAAATAGTTTTGCTGATATTTTCTGTATCGTTGGCCCAAGCAAATGATCTTAAGGATGAAAACACGTCGAATTTGCAGCCACAGGTTAGACAACTTAAATCTGTTTTCTTTGCTTCCAGTCCTTCTTGGTGACAATGGTCAGTAAAAATCCGTCTTGGCCAGAAACTACTTCTACGGGCAGCAGTAAATATGGATCACGATAGCAACAAATAATTTTTATTTCGTTTATTTAAGAATCTGCGTTCTTTTTAGATTAGACTCAGTATTACACTTGACGCCTTAACAACGCTGTTTTCGCTTGAAAAAAAAAAAGTGAGCGGTAAACTAAATAAGTTTTGTCTTCTATTTTGTACGTACAGCTTGTGTTTTACAAATTCTTCACACCCACGAAGCTTGCTGAGGCTGCTACCTTCATCCATCACCACAATACCCTGACTCCTCGACTACTCACATTCCTCAGTGCTCCAAGCAACTACTATCGACTGATGATTGTTCCACTGATTCCGCCAGGAGTCATCGGTAAAAATGCCAAACTTGTCGTCAAGATGGCGGTTGGCTTGGAAACGAAATTTGGCTCAGCAGATAGCGATCCTTCATTTGCTATTTCAGATGGCGATCGCTTTGTCGGCATGCTGACACTTGATAAGACCAACTACCCATCGACTGCCCCCTGTCTTGGTATAGATGGGCCCAGCGGGAATACCATGACTCGTCATACCGATACGTTACTCCCAAAGCCATCCGAGTCTTATTACCCAGGAAGATTCGAGATCCAGTTAAGCCTGTCTGACCGTTGGGGAACCTGTTTCGTCCCGCTAGACGGCGGTTTCAGCAGGGAAATGGTTTACCAGTACAAGTTGAATCCCAACAACGGCCTATTTTTGGAGATTTATGGCGACGGCGCACAAGAGAAAGAAGGCATCAAGTACATTGAGCTGAGCATCCTGCAAGAGAATTAGTCTCTTATACAGCTTACTCAAGACAAATATCTACATATCACTGTCAACAGCTCTGTAGTTTCTGCTGATTAAAAGTGATTGTTCACAAGACGCCAAACAACAATTGTTCACTTCATTTTTTCTTTCCTTGTTTTAAGGCCTAGAGTTTAGCCCCGTTCCAATCCTAATCCCAACTCCCTTGTTAAACGCGAGAAAGGTTAGTTTATGGGCTTTCACCTACTTCTATTTTACATCCAAGGCGCTTTTTTTGGTTTTTATTTAATCTCCGATGCGACCAAACCCACAATTTTCGGCGGTGATGTTGATAAGCAACTGATTCATATCTTAACTCATCCCCAAAGTTTTCCTGCAACCCGCTTACTGGTGTAGTAGTAGCTAATAGTAGGTGGGCAAAGATAGATCCTGCAGCCGGCATCCATGTTGCATTCGCGGTTGACGCTCACATGAACTAGTTCTCTCGGTTTTCTACTTTTATTTGGCAATCTTTTTTTTTGCCAGGCTTCGTTGCAATTGTTTTAAATGCAAATACAGCTGAGAAATCTTTTTCCTTGCTTTATACACTTTCCGCCGTTTATATTAGTGTGAATTCTTTTATATACCTGACATCGTGTGACCTATTATTAATGCAAACAGTTTCGTGACACCATGATTAAATTTCTGGTATCAAATTACTTTCCTTGTGAATATTCTGTTGGTCATCTGTCCAGACCTGTGCGAGATTCATCTCCCATCACAGACATGTTACGAGCTGCCGTTGTATTGTTCACTATGCTAACGATTCACAGTGCTTTTGCTGACCCACGGGTAAATATTTTACTCTCGTTTTCAAAGATAGGCATAAACCAAACCTAAAGAAATAGACAATTGAGTCACGTGAACTCTATATAAAGACCAGGATTTCGTCTTCTTCTATTCTTTTATGATTTTTCGCACAGTTCGGCATAGTCATAAAATCATAACAAGTTATACGCGGTGCAAAATAGTAACAGCCTTGCACTGGAAGGAGTTTGTCGGCGTAGTCGTCATCTATTCTACGTGAAGACATGCAAAGTTACATGTTCCTTCTCCACTAAAGAATTCGTCCTCTGACCCTGACGAGACGGTGGGTGAGTAGTGTGACTTTTAGGGTGGATAGGACTCCAAACCATGGTCTTCTCTTTTACATATCATCTAAGAATGTAAAGGCTCGGTTTGTTTCAATCCTGCATCTCATCGCCGAGTTGTATCTGGAATCCTCTTTTTCGCATTTACCGAGCCACAGTTCTTTCTGAGTATCTCAAAATACTTCACAGAAAATTGTTAAGCGTTATATTAAGTGATTTAGCCAAATCCTAACTTGAAATTTTCTCCAACCTGGTATCCTTTTCTGCAATTCAAATTCAAATACACAAATGGCCTTTCGGGACTTCGTTTGATGAGTACCTGGAAGGTGCATTACTTTAAAGTGAAGACAAAATAATTCTAGACAAAAAAATCTGAACGTCCGACGCTTAACTGCCACACCGGGAGTAACTCCTGCTCTGCCTGCAAGTAATTTTAATGTTAAACCTCTCGGTTTTGTTATATGGTTTGCAGGCGAGACTTTGGTATTACCAAGTGTTTACACCAATGAAGCTACTGAAAGCGGCTAGTTTTGTGCACCACCATCACTCCGTCACTGCCACAGAACTAACCTTTGCCGACACCGCACAAAACCACGCTCGCCTGGTACAGATACCACTAATTCCACCAGAAACCATTGACTCCGATGCGAAAATTGTAGTTAAGATGTCGATCGGAACTGTCACAGATATCGGCGAAGGAGAAAGTGACTCTTCATACGTTATCTCAGATGGCCATCACTTCATTGGTGCTTTGATTCGTGACAAGAGCAACTACAAAACTGGAGCTCCTTGTCGCGGTATTGAAGGATCCAGTGGTAAAACTATGGGATTCGAAAGCCGCCGGGATTCCGAGTTGCCGAAGCCTTCCGAGTCTAAGTATCCGGGAAGGATCGAGGAACTTGTTTCATTTCTCTGGATGGTGGTTTTAGCAGGGAAATGATTTTCGAACACAAGCTGAATCCACATAATGGCTTGTTCCTGGAGATTTATATCGGCAGAAGCTCAAAGAAAATAAGCTTTAAGTACATTGAAGTCAGTATAGTACAGGAAAATTAAAATGAGTGTAAGCCTTACGTCATTTTAAGACCTTTTAATGAAAACACCTAAAAGTTAAAACTTTGAGATTTTTTGCCTCATTTAAATCAAGAAATAGAAGATAATTAATCAAATAAATGTTAAAAACCTGCAAAGACTGGCTGTTGATATAACAGTGATGTAAAATTTATCACTTTTAATCAAAATTTCTCGATAGTATTCTTCTGGTTTGGGCTTTTTGTTCTTTACACGTTCTTGTTTTATCAGAGAGCGACTGAAATTAATTGCTTTTTACATCTTATAAATGAGTTGCTCAATAACCTGTTTTCAACTGACTAGAAGTTCGAATTTCAACTTCAGTTTTATCATAAACTTGTGATGAAAGCGATGAAATGGAAGCCACACATAGCAATAGATTCTGTCTTCGTATTGAAAACCAAAATGAGCGATTCGTCAGTTAACCCTTCACCCCATAAAAATACGCTTCTTCGAAGAAGTCCCAAGAGAATACAGTCAACTTTCTCTTAACGGACACCTCTATAAGACGGACACCTGGTGCTGGTCACGGCCATTTCTCAGTTATTTTACTATAACCAAACTCTCTATTAGACGGACACCTCCATAAGACGGACAACGGACACTTTGAAATCGTCAACGGACACTTGTGAGGTGTTGAATGTGACCACAAGAAAAATTCTTAAATTACCAAGTACGTGACTCTTTTTAACACCAGACTTTTAATTGACAGCTCTCTTCACTGTTTGGACTCTATTTAACCCGTTAACTATTGATTGTAATATGGCAAGAGATTGAAGTTTATAACTATGTTTTTGTTCCAGTTTGTAGGTTTCGTTCAAGCCGAATAACTTAAAACAAACTTTAAACAGACGTGTATTCACTGTGCACAGGTTCAGCATTATTATCTTAAAATTCCTGGGGTCATATAACGTCGACTGTCTACAAGCCGGACACCTCTCTAAGACAGACAGCTGAGGCCGGTCCCTATGGTGTCCATCTTAGAGAGAGTTGACTGTAAACATGGCTTCTTATATGGCCACATAATCGACATGATCATGCCCCACCATTTTTGTGCACACTGTGCGGCCCTATATAGTTTTGAGAAACGGATGTGGTCAGCGGACTAAAAATTTTGGCGGGAAACGAGCCAAGGAAGGCGATCGATCGTTCTACAAGCGAAAAATGTCGTCCCGGCATGTGATTACAAATGTTGCCGATGATACTTCAAGGGATGATCTTGCTCTTTTCGATGACGATGATCCTTTCAATCTTCCACCGCCCCTGCCGCCCCTATCGCCTCAACGCGAGGAAGACGGCACAAACCAAGATGGCGAAACGGTGCAAGGAGGTCAGGATGCAGGCGATGGAGACAAGAAGGAATCGAACAAGAAACGAAAAGTTAAGAGATCACCAAGACCGAAACTAGATGAAGTGAGGTGAGAATCTTTGAACCTGTTTGATGACTAAGGCATTTAAAGTAAAAACAGGAAAAATTATGAAAGTGCCAAGAACTGGTAAGCTTACTTCGATCGATCGAGTCGGCTTTTGACACACATAAGCTTAATATCGAGTGAACTTTGTGTTCGAGGTAAACTCCATCGATATGCGAATTCTACTCGCCGTTTGAGAATTTAATAATAAATCAAGGTGATATTTTCTAGTTGATAAAGCTCTTTAGTCTCGTCACCTGTCTGTTTGGGGGTGAGTTGATACTGTAAAGAGAAAATATACTTGCATCATCTACCTTGCAATTTAAAATACAGTACTTATGGCCTCCTGTCTGTTAATTGACAGATGTCATTCGCTATACAGTTAAGCTGTGTGTACAAGAACAAATCGTAAAAATATGCTCTGCAACACAGTTTGATATTGAATCTAGACCCATTGGTACATCTATCATTTTCTGTGACCAGTTTTTGGGGGTACTTTATCCATGACTGCAAGCTTTTCTGGATCATGTATACTCAAGGCATCTGTTGGCCGAGTATTGGTCGATACTATTGGCTGATATGTTGACCAACACTCAGCTGATATATCAACCGATACTCGGTCAAAGTGTCGACTGACATTCAGCCGACATATCGACCAACATCGACAGACACACATGTTGGCTGACACTTGGCTGATACTTCACCGGCACTCAGCCGACACTTGGCCAATACTTCACTGACACTCAAACAACACTACGCTCCTTTGGTCAGCTCCTGTTGCTGACTTCTCTCTTCTCTGCTCAAATATTGAATAATCTTCTCTATCCCTTTGAGAGGGTCTTTTGGCATCCCTTTGAGAGGGTCTTTTGGCAGCCCTCGTCCATTTTTGACTTTTCATACCGGCAACATTCTCCTATCTCCCAGCTATGCTTGTCGAGACCTCAAGTTGCATTAGATATGGATTCAAAGTGATAGCAGTTTGAGCTGCATCCTCACTCTAGCATAGACAATAAAGTCTCTTCTTTCACGTCTCTTGTGGGTAAGGAGACGGCTGCTACTTCAGCAAAACAACGGTTAACAATACACAGATACCACTGACAGTCGACTGATACACCAGCGACTGTTGATAGCAACATGTTGGTCGAGGTGTCGGCTGAGTGTTGACTGACATACCGACCAATAGTGTCGACTGACGGTCTATTAACTTGAATAACATGTCCACCGACACTCGGCCAACTCTCGGTCGACATATCGACCACGTATTGGGCGATATGTCAACCGACTGTCGGTCAATATATCAGGCGACAGTATTGGCTGATACTCGACTGACAGATGCCTCAAGCACACATGATCTGCTTTTCTTTCAGGCAAGCTGGAACTACGATGAACAGTACTAGCCTGAAAGTCCATGTCACTATCCCCTCCCCCCAAAGAAAACATTATTACTAGCATGATCAGTTACTTTAAAATTAAATTAATGTAATAATTTCATACCTTACAGTTGTTGTTTTTTTTGTTAATTTGAATCCTGAAAAGAAAATTTCCAAACAAATTTCACTTGCACATCAAACAAGCAATTGAAGGAATCCACTACCCTGACTGGAAAATCCATTTGCCACAGGCACATTGTCTGACCAAATTACAGATATTGTCCGATTGATTTTGTTATGATCAGACACTGTGACCAAGCACCATGTTTGTGGACCATGTGTGCTTTGCACCTTGTTTAAAAGCACAGATCATTTGGATCTATGGTCTGTTCTGCTTAATAGCCTCTCCAGATTTGCATGAAAGGTGAAATGAACATCTACTTTGAAAATTGCTCCATAATGCATAATAATATTATTGTTCATCATTTATTCTTCTGTAACAAATATCATTATTCAATATTTCTGAGTAATAAAACTGAGCATATTCATAATTATTTTAGGCTAGATTTTGTTTTTCTTTACTTCTTCCTCTTTTACTGCCCATTAATCCAGAAAAATATTCTGGTGTCAAAATGGTTTGAAAAATTATTGAGGGGACAAGTTAAATCAAACTGATTTTCCCACCATATGAACCAATTCACTAACCAATCACGGTAGTATTGCTGCTATAGGGGTCACTCCTTATAATTTCTCCATAGACATATCCAGGGCTTGCCTGGGAAGGTATTGGTTCTAAAAGATCTGTTTGCTTTACTATTTTAGTAGGTTGTCACATCTGAGTTGTATAAAAGGCTCAAAATGCTCTGAAAAGTGTCAAATTTGTTCTGATAAACTAAACGTTTCGGGCTTAGCCCTTCTTCAGTCGGTGGATTTAGCCACGCCACACAAAAAACTGTACGCGTATGCACGCGCGCGCGTGAAGTACAAAGTAAACAAATAGGAAAACCATTGTTTTAGCATGCGTTAGTGTAATATGGTTTTCCTATTTGTTTACTTTGTATTTCATGTGCGCACTTTCTGTGCATGTGTACGCGTACAGTTTTTTGTATGGCATGGCTAAATCCACCTACTGAAAAAGGGCTAAGCCCGAAATGTTTAGTTTATTACAACAAATTTGACACCTCAGAGCATGTTGAGCCTTATATACAACTTTTCAGCAGTGTCACGGATCGTATGAGTTTTTTGCTCATTCCTACTGAATTTGTCACATCTGAGGTTGGTTAATAACTAGAAAAATTTAAACTTCAGGTTGTGTGGTGATCGAGGTATTCCAGCTCTATGCCACCTTTGTGATGACATCAAGTTTAAAGGAAAAGGCCATGAGGTAACTAAGAAGTGCCAAATTGTCAGACATAGTGAATAATCCTGTAGAAAACCCTTACTACACAATGAGGTCCTTAAAGCATATCAGAACTTTGTTTAACAATCCTTGATCTGACATGTACAGAGCTTGCACAAAGATCTAAGTAAAGATCCTTCAGGATTGTCAAGGATTCCTTGTTTTGCAGGATCTTGAAATAAATTTGTTTGAGGATACTGCAGGATCTTGTATATATCTGCTTGAATCCTGCAAAAGACAAAGTTTTTTTAAGGATCTGGCAAGATCCTCAAAAAATTACTTAATGATAACAGCTCTTAAAGGATTGTCAAAAAGATCCTCATACTTACTGAAGATCTCTCAAACAGTTTCACCAGGGAAGGATAAAGATTTACTGCATGTTTATTTATGCTGTAAACATGTCATTTCATGGAGTATATAGATGGGTAGGAGTTGGGTTAACCCCTATTAAAGATGTTGCTTAATAATAATGATAATGATAATGATAATNTACTTTCCTTGTGAATATTCTGTTGGTCATCTGTCCAGACCTGTGCGAGATTCATCTCCCATCACAGACATGTTACGAGCTGCCGTTGTATTGTTCACTATGCTAACGATTCACAGTGCTTTTGCTGACCCACGGGTAAATATTTTACTCTCGTTTTCAAAGATAGGCATAAACCAAACCTAAAGAAATAGACAATTGAGTCACGTGAACTCTATATAAAGACCAGGATTTCGTCTTCTTCTATTCTTTTATGATTTTTCGCACAGTTCGGCATAGTCATAAAATCATAACAAGTTATACGCGGTGCAAAATAGTAACAGCCTTGCACTGGAAGGAGTTTGTCGGCGTAGTCGTCATCTATTCTACGTGAAGACATGCAAAGTTACATGTTCCTTCTCCACTAAAGAATTCGTCCTCTGACCCTGACGAGACGGTGGGTGAGTAGTGTGACTTTTAGGGTGGATAGGACTCCAAACCATGGTCTTCTCTTTTACATATCATCTAAGAATGTAAAGGCTCGGTTTGTTTCAATCCTGCATCTCATCGCCGAGTTGTATCTGGAATCCTCTTTTTCGCATTTACCGAGCCACAGTTCTTTCTGAGTATCTCAAAATACTTCACAGAAAATTGTTAAGCGTTATATTAAGTGATTTAGCCAAATCCTAACTTGAAATTTTCTCCAACCTGGTATCCTTTTCTGCAATTCAAATTCAAATACACAAATGGCCTTTCGGGACTTCGTTTGATGAGTACCTGGAAGGTGCATTACTTTAAAGTGAAGACAAAATAATTCTAGACAAAAAAATCTGAACGTCCGACGCTTAACTGCCACACCGGGAGTAACTCCTGCTCTGCCTGCAAGTAATTTTAATGTTAAACCTCTCGGTTTTGTTATATGGTTTGCAGGCGAGACTTTGGTATTACCAAGTGTTTACACCAATGAAGCTACTGAAAGCGGCTAGTTTTGTGCACCACCATCACTCCGTCACTGCCACAGAACTAACCTTTGCCGACACCGCACAAAACCACGCTCGCCTGGTACAGATACCACTAATTCCACCAGAAACCATTGACTCCGATGCGAAAATTGTAGTTAAGATGTCGATCGGAACTGTCACAGATATCGGCGAAGGAGAAAGTGACTCTTCATACGTTATCTCAGATGGCCATCACTTCATTGGTGCTTTGATTCGTGACAAGAGCAACTACAAAACTGGAGCTCCTTGTCGCGGTATTGAAGGATCCAGTGGTAAAACTATGGGATTCGAAAGCCGCCGGGATTCCGAGTTGCCGAAGCCTTCCGAGTCTAAGTATCCGGGAAGGATCGAGGAACTTGTTTCATTTCTCTGGATGGTGGTTTTAGCAGGGAAATGATTTTCGAACACAAGCTGAATCCACATAATGGCTTGTTCCTGGAGATTTATATCGGCAGAAGCTCAAAGAAAATAAGCTTTAAGTACATTGAAGTCAGTATAGTACAGGAAAATTAAAATGAGTGTAAGCCTTACGTCATTTTAAGACCTTTTAATGAAAACACCTAAAAGTTAAAACTTTGAGATTTTTTGCCTCATTTAAATCAAGAAATAGAAGATAATTAATCAAATAAATGTTAAAAACCTGCAAAGACTGGCTGTTGATATAACAGTGATGTAAAATTTATCACTTTTAATCAAAATTTCTCGATAGTATTCTTCTGGTTTGGGCTTTTTGTTCTTTACACGTTCTTGTTTTATCAGAGAGCGACTGAAATTAATTGCTTTTTACATCTTATAAATGAGTTGCTCAATAACCTGTTTTCAACTGACTAGAAGTTCGAATTTCAACTTCAGTTTTATCATAAACTTGTGATGAAAGCGATGAAATGGAAGCCACACATAGCAATAGATTCTGTCTTCGTATTGAAAACCAAAATGAGCGATTCGTCAGTTAACCCTTCACCCCATAAAAATACGCTTCTTCGAAGAAGTCCCAAGAGAATACAGTCAACTTTCTCTTAACGGACACCTCTATAAGACGGACACCTGGTGCTGGTCACGGCCATTTCTCAGTTATTTTACTATAACCAAACTCTCTATTAGACGGACACCTCCATAAGACGGACAACGGACACTTTGAAATCGTCAACGGACACTTGTGAGGTGTTGAATGTGACCACAAGAAAAATTCTTAAATTACCAAGTACGTGACTCTTTTTAACACCAGACTTTTAATTGACAGCTCTCTTCACTGTTTGGACTCTATTTAACCCGTTAACTATTGATTGTAATATGGCAAGAGATTGAAGTTTATAACTATGTTTTTGTTCCAGTTTGTAGGTTTCGTTCAAGCCGAATAACTTAAAACAAACTTTAAACAGACGTGTATTCACTGTGCACAGGTTCAGCATTATTATCTTAAAATTCCTGGGGTCATATAACGTCGACTGTCTACAAGCCGGACACCTCTCTAAGACAGACAGCTGAGGCCGGTCCCTATGGTGTCCATCTTAGAGAGAGTTGACTGTAAACATGGCTTCTTATATGGCCACATAATCGACATGATCATGCCCCACCATTTTTGTGCACACTGTGCGGCCCTATATAGTTTTGAGAAACGGATGTGGTCAGCGGACTAAAAATTTTGGCGGGAAACGAGCCAAGGAAGGCGATCGATCGTTCTACAAGCGAAAAATGTCGTCCCGGCATGTGATTACAAATGTTGCCGATGATACTTCAAGGGATGATCTTGCTCTTTTCGATGACGATGATCCTTTCAATCTTCCACCGCCCCTGCCGCCCCTATCGCCTCAACGCGAGGAAGACGGCACAAACCAAGATGGCGAAACGGTGCAAGGAGGTCAGGATGCAGGCGATGGAGACAAGAAGGAATCGAACAAGAAACGAAAAGTTAAGAGATCACCAAGACCGAAACTAGATGAAGTGAGGTGAGAATCTTTGAACCTGTTTGATGACTAAGGCATTTAAAGTAAAAACAGGAAAAATTATGAAAGTGCCAAGAACTGGTAAGCTTACTTCGATCGATCGAGTCGGCTTTTGACACACATAAGCTTAATATCGAGTGAACTTTGTGTTCGAGGTAAACTCCATCGATATGCGAATTCTACTCGCCGTTTGAGAATTTAATAATAAATCAAGGTGATATTTTCTAGTTGATAAAGCTCTTTAGTCTCGTCACCTGTCTGTTTGGGGGTGAGTTGATACTGTAAAGAGAAAATATACTTGCATCATCTACCTTGCAATTTAAAATACAGTACTTATGGCCTCCTGTCTGTTAATTGACAGATGTCATTCGCTATACAGTTAAGCTGTGTGTACAAGAACAAATCGTAAAAATATGCTCTGCAACACAGTTTGATATTGAATCTAGACCCATTGGTACATCTATCATTTTCTGTGACCAGTTTTTGGGGGTACTTTATCCATGACTGCAAGCTTTTCTGGATCATGTATACTCAAGGCATCTGTTGGCCGAGTATTGGTCGATACTATTGGCTGATATGTTGACCAACACTCAGCTGATATATCAACCGATACTCGGTCAAAGTGTCGACTGACATTCAGCCGACATATCGACCAACATCGACAGACACACATGTTGGCTGACACTTGGCTGATACTTCACCGGCACTCAGCCGACACTTGGCCAATACTTCACTGACACTCAAACAACACTACGCTCCTTTGGTCAGCTCCTGTTGCTGACTTCTCTCTTCTCTGCTCAAATATTGAATAATCTTCTCTATCCCTTTGAGAGGGTCTTTTGGCATCCCTTTGAGAGGGTCTTTTGGCAGCCCTCGTCCATTTTTGACTTTTCATACCGGCAACATTCTCCTATCTCCCAGCTATGCTTGTCGAGACCTCAAGTTGCATTAGATATGGATTCAAAGTGATAGCAGTTTGAGCTGCATCCTCACTCTAGCATAGACAATAAAGTCTCTTCTTTCACGTCTCTTGTGGGTAAGGAGACGGCTGCTACTTCAGCAAAACAACGGTTAACAATACACAGATACCACTGACAGTCGACTGATACACCAGCGACTGTTGATAGCAACATGTTGGTCGAGGTGTCGGCTGAGTGTTGACTGACATACCGACCAATAGTGTCGACTGACGGTCTATTAACTTGAATAACATGTCCACCGACACTCGGCCAACTCTCGGTCGACATATCGACCACGTATTGGGCGATATGTCAACCGACTGTCGGTCAATATATCAGGCGACAGTATTGGCTGATACTCGACTGACAGATGCCTCAAGCACACATGATCTGCTTTTCTTTCAGGCAAGCTGGAACTACGATGAACAGTACTAGCCTGAAAGTCCATGTCACTATCCCCTCCCCCCAAAGAAAACATTATTACTAGCATGATCAGTTACTTTAAAATTAAATTAATCTAATAATTTCATACCTTACAGTTGTTGTTTTTTTTGTTAATTTGAATCCTGAAAAGAAAATTTCCAAACAAATTTCACTTGCACATCAAACAAGCAATTGAAGGAATCCACTACCCTGACTGGAAAATCCATTTGCCACAGGCACATTGTCTGACCAAATTACAGATATTGTCCGATTGATTTTGTTATGATCAGACACTGTGACCAAGCACCATGTTTGTGGACCATGTGTGCTTTGCACCTTGTTTAAAAGCACAGATCATTTGGATCTATGGTCTGTTCTGCTTAATAGCCTCTCCAGATTTGCATGAAAGGTGAAATGAACATCTACTTTGAAAATTGCTCCATAATGCATAATAATATTATTGTTCATCATTTATTCTTCTGTAACAAATATCATTATTCAATATTTCTGAGTAATAAAACTGAGCATATTCATAATTATTTTAGGCTAGATTTTGTTTTTCTTTACTTCTTCCTCTTTTACTGCCCATTAATCCAGAAAAATATTCTGGTGTCAAAATGGTTTGAAAAATTATTGAGGGGACAAGTTAAATCAAACTGATTTTCCC